CAAACATTGGCTAGGGCATGGAAGGTGGACGATCCCTCGGGTCAACAAGTTAAAAATAAAATGTCCTGGTATTTGATAAATGAGAGAATGACAGCGATATTGGAAGATACACTCATTAAATTTAAGAATGTGCGGCAACCATGGATTAAAAAATGTATGCCAATAAATCTGGATATAATCTTGGAGGATTGATAGAAATTGTAGCCCTTGGGCACTGGATGAGGTGAGGGAGGGGAAAGGTCACAGAGAATGACAATATAGAAATAAAAATGTAATTTGTTTTTTGGGGCAGGGGATTTTAGATGGGAGAGATGAGACGGTCCCTTCAGAAGAGGGGTTTCTTGGATTGAAATGTTTAGATGGCGTACATGCAAATGTAAAAGGATATTGTTAGAATGTAAGTGTAATGGAAATCAAGAAAAGATTCTGTATTTTGTAATGTTTTATTCTTGAAAACTAAGCAATTATGATAATAAAACCAGGCAATACTGGACATGTGTAGCGCAATTGTTTGTGTAGGCGCACCCGACCTATGTTTGTTAGCAATGAGGTGTAATAAAATTAAGTTCCAACCCTGCAAACTCACATACTATCACATGGAGGGGGGGTGGCGCTCACAAGCCCCTTATGTACTTCCGGTTCCGGCGCCTGATGTAGCGGACGCAGGGTGAAGAGCTCCCGCACAGCCAGGGTTATTCTGCATATAAAATCTTATCTCAGCGCTTCTAAGCCACCCGGACATCTTACCCTTGTCTGCCACGATTGAGTGTCGCCATGGATAAGTTCCTAGCGAAACGCAGAACCGGACCTAGAGGCAACGGGACGCCTGTACGGGGGAAACGGGCGCAAGCCAAGATGGCCGCCAACACCAACATTCCAGATGTCAGCGCCTCATCGGAGGAAGACTTGCCCTCCATGACGGACCATGGCCTGATTGCCGCTGAAGTAGCAAAACTGCTTCGCCCCACAATACAGGACGCAGTTAACAAGGCGGTTTTCAAGGGAATTCAATCCCTCTGCCACGATTTGTTGCACCAGGCAAGGAAAAATTACAGATTTTTAAAAAAAAAAAAACAGTTTCCCCTACCCGCAGATAGGAGTCAGCCGTCCGTCCGTTTTTTCTTAACGGGCGGATGGCAAGAGGTTAAATCACCGGCTAAACACACTATGATACTGCGCCATCTCAAAAAGCTGAAACCAGACATAGTATTCCTGCAGGAAACCCATCTTCCTGTGGAAGACGTGGACAGACTGCGCAAATTGTGGGTAGGCGAAGTCGTCAGCTCCCCAGCTGTGGGCAGACAATCTGGGTGGCTATTCTTTTCCATAAATCCTTCTCATACAAGATTGTTCAAGTCAGTAAAGACCCCGCTGGTCACAGACTATTGGTGAAAATCAAGGTACATGTACTCACTGTACAACTTTTATTTTCCCAATTCTCCCACGGCTACATACTTCCAGGAGACCACCTCATGGATAATGCAGGATGAAAATGCGCACAAGCTCCTCGGAGGCGACTTCAACTCAGTTATGGTACTGGATGAGGACAGATCAGGGAGGGTGAAGAAACGTGCTACTACTGTGACACCTACCCCTACATATCTACACGATATGGCCACACACCTCAACCTCTCAGATGTTTGGAGAGGTCATCTGTGCGCACACTATACCGGATCTTCTGGGCCTTGACCCCAGATGCAATCCACTAGAACGTGAGTACTCTCATTTCTCATCTGCTCACAACGCTTTCGCCAGATTGGACTACTTTCTGGCGACAGATGCTGTGGACTCACTAATCCTTGATGTGACCATGCTCTGATCCAGCTACAGATGCAAGCCCATGTGCCAAGAGGCGACTCGTACATCTGGCACTTTCCATCTCACCTGTACTCAGATTCTTCCTTTAAAGCCATGTTGTTGGAGGCATGGCAGGATTATGAATCCTTAAATGGTGAACATATCAACACCCCTAATTTATTCTGGGAGACAGCCAAAGTAGTTTTGAGGGGGATTATGTCCCAGCAGCAAAAAAGAGAAAGGCCAAAGTCCAGTTTCTTGCGGCCAGTGCAGCTTTACGCCAAGCCCAACTGGATTACTTACACCAAGATACTCCAAGAAACAGGGAAATATGCTAAAAGCAAAGTTAGATTTCGACCAGTGGAACACCCTACAGATAATATAGTCGAAAATTTCTTAACTGGGTATCGCTCTATATGCAAAGCAATGGTAAATGAGCAATGGAGGCAGACACAATTTAAGATTGTACACAGAGCATATTATGCATTCCAGATAAAACATACTCCCGCTCATAACCCGGGATACTTAAATCACTGTCCCAAGTTCCTTGTTCCACCGCTTATGGACCTGTCCCACGATCCAGTGGTTCTGGAGCAAGGGCATTGACTTTGTTGCTTCAGTGGTGGGTCAACAAATCCCTAGTGTAGCCCTATTATTACTGTTTAACCACTGGGACGACCCACCAGATCTCAGTAAATACCATAGGCAGTGGATAAGCATAGCCCTCCTGGCAGCTAGGCGTTGCATGAGAGAATGGCTTTCCCCACACCCTCTCACTGTGCATGGGTTACGAAGCGACCTCCTGAACGTGCTCCACCTAGAAAAACTAGGTGCAGAGACCCAGATAGAGGAGGATAGAAAACTGATAGCCTTTCTCAGCAGATGGATACCCTTTATAGACACTCTTTTTACTCAGGAGAAATATTTGTCTCCCTTTCAATACTCTTCCAGTCTACTACTATTATCTAAGATAAGCGGAGGGACATAATACATTTCTCCTTCCTCTGTTCTTTCCTGTGCTTGCTTTTGTAATACTGCCAGATTCTACTTGCAGGCCCTGACTACACCATCCGCTAAATTGGGAATGCTATAGAGACTAATTTTGGTTTGAAGGGTGACATATCGAGCCAAGATCCCATAGAAATGATTTCAAACTAAACTTGGATGATACTATAACCTCATACTTGTGCATTGGTTTCTATGCTACAACAAACTGTTAATTGACAGATATGGGTACTAACAGAATGATAGGCTGGGGGGACAAATGAAAAGAGAAAAAAAAAAAAAAAAGGGGAAATTCGATGAGGGCTGTACTAGATATATTTTGTTTCTTAGATTTCAGATCCAAGTGTAACGTTAAAATAAATCTTTCTACGCATAACAGACGTTCGATAATGGGGAAAAAAATGTTTGATGTGATGTAACTGCAGTTGCTGTACCATTTCTGTACGATATTTTGTCTTTTTCAATTGGTGCACTTGTGTATGTAAATTTATCCTTCGTCAATAACATTGTTTGAAAAAAAACAAGCCCCTTATGTGATGGTATATTGGAGGCAACAGGTTCTCTTTAAAGGTGGCATTAGGAGTCTTTTAGATAGGGATTGCAGAGTCACTCTGCTATCAGCCTCTGCTGATATAGGCAGGGATTGAAAAGGGACACAGATCGCTGCAGCCAGCACCAGCAGGGAGAATTGGGAAGCAATTGGCCCTAGTGCATGTTTTTTTTTGGCCCCACCCCCAAAAAAAAACAAAAAAAAACAACCAGACACAGCACTCTCCTCCCGCAGTGCTGGACTGTCACTTTCTCTCCTCCCCGCTGGGACACAGAGCAGCGCCCAGCGGGGAGGAAAGAAAGCAGGGATGCGCCGCTGTATCAGCAGAAAAATTGCACTTTTCGGCATTTAGCCAAAAGTGCCATTTCAGGCCGATATCTTTTGGCGGCCGATATGGCTGCACCGATTCTAATATTTACAGCAATGCAGAATGGCACAGGCTATAGAGGACTACACATCCCAGCAATGCTTTATATAACAATAACATTTCTGTATAAAGTACTGCTGAGATTTGTAGTCCTCTATAGAGGGTGCCATTCGGCATTGCTTCAATAGTACTTTATGCAACATTAGGCTACAAATAATTTTAATTATTTACCCTTACCTCTTCTGGCTGGTCTTGTCTTCACCCGTTTCCCATGTGTTTTCTGGGTCCTCATTGCCGTCCGAGGCCCCATGATGTGCCTGCAGTACTGCCTTATTCTCTCTCCATTGCCACCTCTCTATATACATTTCCCCCCCCCTTGCACAGCCAACAAGCCCAGTGGAGTGGGCGGAGCCTGGGCAGTGTGCTGTGATTGGCGGAGGGTTGCCATGGCGATAGAATGCCAACCCGGATCGGGAGCCGCGCTGTCAGATTACACAGCATTCTAACGCCATGGCAACCATCAGTATCCAGACACCCCCCATCTCTGTGCCGGATGAACTGACTCAGCGCAGAGATGGGGGGCCCACTGGCCACCGATCCGGTGCTGGGCCCCCCCAGGTGCGCCTGCAACAGCGGTAGTTTCACCACTGGGCGACAGCAACTGATAATGGTTGCCAACGATTCCATTGAATATAAATTGATTTAATAGATTAGTTGCTGCAGCCCTAGTTTAGAGAAACCAAAATTTTGCTGTAGGGAGCTAAAGGGCTGTGGAATGGAGTACAGTGGATGTAAGCCGACCTTCCCAGCTCAGAACTGCCATTTTGTGCAGTTCTACATTAGTATTTTCAAATAGTGATTGAAGCCAACATACTGCCAGAAGAGACCCAGTGTTGGAGAGGTGATGCCATGTTTTCCTGCTTCCAAGTATTCAAGATACATGTTGGGAATTCTAGCAGCATTTACCTCCCTTATTGGATCCTCTGCAATAGCCCACTAAGTGCTGGGTTTTAGATCACAGTTCCCTTCTAGAGAACTATGAAAAGGTTGGCCCATAGTTCTCAAAGTCCACTTTTGGTCTTTGAAGAGATTTCAACCTGTTAGTGTTTGGTAAAGCTGGAACACATAATGGGAAGTACTCAAATGCAGAAAGGTTTTATGAACATGGAACTCTTTGCAAGGGGAAGGTAATCCACTGGTCAGCAAGCAGACAGTTTAAAAATAAACACATTTATTTAAAAAGATAGGAGTAAAACCATACAAAAAGGGACAATAAAAACTTTATGCTAACAGTTCACCCATCTGGGGCAAGTCAAGTGTGATGTCATCAAAGGTTGTCAGAAAAGATGGAAGTGAACTTGACAGATCTGAAAAAAGTAAATACAAGTTTACTTTACATGACAATTAATTTCTTAGTTTGAACTTGGCTTAATGCATGCATATTATAAAATACAGGATTCCTACGTGGGAACATTATGTACAGCCAGCATAGCCATCTGTAAGAGAAATGCAGAGATACCAGTTATCTGTGCACTACTTTTTCAGATTGATTCACCTGCCTTGTCCTGCAGTGGCTAGGGACCTTGCTGCAACCTTAGAAGCCATGCAGTGCCAGCTTACAGTGCTTCTGCCACCTGCACATCTCCCCCACCCGAGACCCTCCGCCCAAGACATCAGGCAGGCACTTCCTAGCAAAAACGGCAGCACAGCATATGTAGCAAATTCATATAGTATTTTGCATTGCTGTAAAATATACTGCTAGGATTTGTAGTCCCTCTACAGCTTTGAGTCTGACAGAACTACCACTAGGTCCTTTCAACTGATATCATAGCTTCCCCAGACAGTTTGCTGCTGGTCTACAAGGAGCCGATGGCATGTAATGACTCACTGCCCGGTCTCCTGTTTAGCTGAGAAGCCATCTCCATACATGCTTTATGTGCGTGCAATCAGGAAGCCGGGCAATAGCTTGCTGATTGGCTGGGAAGTTTGCCACACACTCCCTCATTGCTAGCTTTCTGGCCAATCAGGAAGCCTGGGAGGGGGTGTCATCTTTAACTGCTCACTGACTGAGAAAGCAAGGAGACTACTTCCTGGCCAGGCGGTGTGTAATGACCCGCAGCTAGTCTTCCCGATACTGGAAGTTCTGGTATCGGGATACGTTTTGTGAGCATTTGAGTAAGTACTCACCAAAATGCTCAGTATTGGTACATCACTAAAATGCACCTTGTTAGATACAAAGTGGGACCTATCCAGCCTTTACTCGGTGCAGCCATTGAGCAATCCTGCTGCTGGTCAGACATGGGTTGCCAAACTGAATTTGGACCATTACAAGCTACTCCTGCAAAATTCTTGCGAAAGCAATCATACTTTTAGATTTAATAAATCTGATTGCTACACTAGGTTGAGGTGTTCCGTTTTTCTACTAGTAGTGTGCTCCGTTCCTGTCCACTAAAGGAGGTGCAATACTGGCACTTTAGTTACTGCAGAGTGTTCTTGGCTGATTTGCAGCCAAGAACTGGTAGCTTAAAGTCTACACATCCTAGTCCTTAGAACCCTCCCCTCCAAGTTTGTAGAGATTCTGGATCTTGCATTCATGAAGTGGTTAAAAACCAACCTGATCCCCAGCTAAACACTGGAATATTCATTGGAGCTAGCTCCCGGGTCAACAATGCATCAAACTTTGCAGCTTCCTTCTCATGAACTATAAGTTGAACTCCAGCAAGGTAGAGATGACTTAGTTTGTGCTCTTCTGGAACATCAAAAGTTTCAAAATCTAGGAAGAGAGAAAGGCTTGATAGACAACACATATGACCACTGCCAATCAAGCAGCTTGTGTTCTGAACTACTAAAGATTTAAGACTGCATTTACACAAGTCATTTGTATACTTGCTAGCTTTCCTGTAGGCAAGAGTATTATCAGTTCAGCCAGTTAAACATCAGTGTCAACCTTCCCTCAAGATATGAAAATGTTTGCACACTTGAGGAAAATGATGGGGGGTGATAAGGTTTATAAAGCTCAAATGGTACCCCTCTTCCCAGTCATCATCCAGTTACATTAATTAAATGCCCATTTACTTACCTGGATGCATTGTCAAAGGACAAACTTTTGAGTCTCCCTTCTTCCAAAAGGTAGAAAAGGGTCCTCTGCTACTCTGATTTGCATTGGCATGGCCACTTTCCATTGGCTGTCTTATCAGTAAGGTCCGCACATTGTCCTAAAGACACCCAGCAGTATGACATCAAGATGTGGCAACAAGACCAGTGTGGCATGTCAGAGCCAGGTGAGCAAGAGGGCCTTTAAAGACTTGACATTGCATGCACAGGGCAAACTGAATGTATTTGCAGAGGGGTCCACCTATGCTCTTCTTGCTAGGATTTCCCTACCAATTCTCCCTCAAAAGGTAGCTGGCATAAAAAGACATCTGGGAAGAAGGGGTGTTGGTGGACACTGGGGAGGGGGTGCACCTTATATAGTATGCTCAGTTTCACAGGTGTACTTTAGCATTGCAGTCAACTTGTAGGGGGAACCAATTGCCACTTACTCTGAGGAATTCTAGCACAGTGTACAGGATGTAAAGAATGCAGGGCTACCGTTTTATAACCTGTACAAGCAGTTTACAAAAATCCAATATCAATAGGTAAACCTGAAGGTAAAACTACTTGCCTGCTGGATCATAAGGAAGGCACTTCTCAATCTCAGGGTAGATTTGCTTGCTAGGCTTGATGCAGACTTCAGAAATCTGAAATTTATGGATTTACTGTTAAGCTTGGGCAGTCTTAGACCTCTATTCTGGACAGCAGATGATAAATCTCCAGTGGGGACAGACACTAACTGAACATTTTGGCTGGTGCTAAAGACCTGTCACTCAAATCCACAAGACAATAGTACCTGCTTAGTAACTGGTGCAGATATCTTCACTTTAAGGGCACCTTTCTGGAATGGAACAGATGTCTGAACAACTTGCTTGTTGACATTTCCCAGAGCTTTTCTTGGCAAATGCAATTATTTACTACTTCAGGAGCGCCAAGCTGTTTATTAATTCTAATATGTACAGCAGGGAGCTGCACTTCTGCCTCCCTGCTGCATCAGAACAATGCCTTTGATTAATACGAGTTCTGGTGTTGTGCATCAGTCACAGCCAATTAAGAGAAAGAAAGCACAAAACTAGCGTTTCAATTGAGCTTTGAGATACTGTTACCTGGTCCATTTAGGGCAAGAGAGTTGTCTGTCCCCCCACCCCCTCTCGAATAGCCCACCCTCCAGCAAGTTATAGCATCAATCCATGCTGCCGCAATGCAGTGAGGTATCTAGGTATGGGAGGGAAGCATGGGACCACTGCAATGCAAGTGCTTTGGTCTGAGCAGCAAATTGCCAAACCCAGACAGCATCAAATGGGGTGGGGGGAATACAAGTTCTATTTACCCTGGTTAGCACAAGCCAGAGCTTACTCACAGCAGACTCAGAAACACTAGTGGCAAGGGGGCATGCCACAGGACTTTGCCAGATCGAGATATCTGGCAATAACCTGCAGCATGTCTGTACATGCATCACACATGCCTTAAAGAGTCAGGAAGAAGCATTCTCCTGAACCAACAGTATCAAGATGGTGGCACAGGAGCCAAGCAGACAAGACCTCCAGCTGCAAAGACAACAATGCTGGAATCCATGGACTACCAAGTATGTTTTTTTTTTTTATATTGTACAGTGACAATAGCAAGATTGATTTTGGCTTCAACCAGGAAAAGTGAAAGTTATTCAGGCAATATTAAACTGTAGTAACTATACTGGCCACAAACCTTGCAGAAATCCCATCTGGTGGGCTACCAACTGAGAAAAGGCCACCAGAATACTCACCAGAACTTGTTTGTGTCAAGCGATCCTTGGACAGGTTAGTAGAAGCAACATCTCCATTCTCTTGGTCAACAAAAATCAAAGTTGCCATCTTCACTTTATTCAAAACTAAAAAAAAAACACAAGTGACATTAGTATTTGTTACAGTGTCAACATAAAATAATTGGATGATCCAAAAACAGTGATATTAGACCAAGCCTGCCACAAGCCGACCTCCTGGCCAATATTAGCCACCTGGAACTATATTGTACCATTTACCAACCAGGGGTGCCTCTGCACTAAATTTAACATTGTGCTAATCTTTAATCTTAAAGCAACCAGCTTCTGCTTAATTGCAATGTTATTCCTCATACGCAGCATGTAAAGCTATAGAGCTGCAACAAATAAAATTAGGGGAGGCATGGTGTTTCTAACTAAAAGTACATCTAACACCCAAACTGATTTACATTCTGGAAAAGGGAAGCAAACAGTTAGAATTGAACCCTGTCATGTTTTTGTGACGCTGGTATTTTCCCTCAATTTGGGACACTACCCACTCACTTGCAGCATCTACAACAGTCTTTACCAAGCAGGGTGACAGACATTTTCAGACAGCATTATTGAGGCAGGGGGAGAAAGGAGAGAAGACGATTTATCAAAACTTGAGCAAACTGAATCTGGAGCAGTTGCCCCCAGCTTCTATTTAGTTAAGCTGTGGCAATGAAAGCTAGGAGAGGATTGGTTTCCATGGGCAACTGCTCCAGTTTTGATAAATTCCCATTACAATGGTGCAGGCAAGCTGGACAGCATAGGAATACTGGGGATAAATCCAGGAGAGGCAGGGTCCAATTAGAAGAGGACAGAGGAGTGTTTAGCACGGAGTAGCTTTTCTGCAGTACTTCAGTTCACTGAACTAGTTGGCTGCACAGTGCTAAGCAAAATGGTGAAGGATATTTTTGACTAAAATACCATTTACTAATGACTATTTGGTGTACTTGTCCACCAAAACATTAAATTGTAGGTTCCACATTAAATTGATTTTCTCCAGTGATGCCAGGTGTGCCCACAGTCAAAAACAACCACTGGTGCTCTGTCCCCTCTTCTCTATCACACACAGTGCTCTGTAATCACTTCCGCTGCCAGCGCTAAACAGTAGTGAGCGCCGACTTCTTTGTAGCACAGCGCTCAGCGGCAGTTTGCCAACTCAGCACTCGCAGCGGCTGAGCAACTGAACACCCCTAAGAAATCCACCTCCATGTAGACTCGCTCCCCCCTCTGCCATACACTGCTGTAATGGGGTTTTTGTTTTGCATAGGACCCCTTAGGATAATTTTGCATACTTTATAAGGGTGCCAATGTACCATGAGTGAGAAACCGTTCTACAGGACAGCAGAGTGAAGTATATACATAGCAAAAAAATCTGATCCTTGTTTGTCACCTGTGGTCCAAGACTGAAAACACCTTCACTAGCTGCTTTGTCAGACTGACGGGTTTCAAAAACCGTACATATCACAGGCATGGCAGAATCGTACACATATCTATATACAGCAATGGTCACAGGGCGTGGCGGTTATATTCAAGTTCGGTCGGGCCTCGTGAAGACTCACACCCAGCATGAGGTGAGCTCGAGGCCCCGACCTCCGCTCCGGGGATCAGACCTGAGGACCCATGTAGCGTACTCGGCCACAGTTGACTTACCAGGGAAGACTCCGCTACAGACAACTCTCCAAAGCAGCGGACATACACAACTGAGAACCCGGCAGCACTTAAACCAAAAGTTGCTCACTCATTGGCTGCACGGAGAGGCGGCCTTTCCTTGATTGGCCAAGTCCTGCAATGGTGGTTTGTTTTTTATTGGATAACGACGGTTAAGTGCGTCTTGGCTACACCTGATCTCTGGACATAACACGTGTTTGTGTTTATATTTGTAGCGTCATGAGCTTCTGATGGGACTTATGGCTGAGGGCAGAAACTCTCTACTCTTCATCACTGACACTGCATAACTGACATTGCTTCACTGACACTGATTTACTGACACTGATTTACTGACACTTCATCACTGACATTACATAACTGCATCAATAACGCTGCTTCATTGACATTTCATCAGTGGTATTGCATCAATAACACTAAATCACTGATGGTACATCACCATCACTGACTCTGCATCAAAAACACTTCATCACTGACTCTGCATCAATAACACTACATAACTGACAGTTCATCAGTGACACTGCATCATTGACGCTGCTTCACTGACGCTACATCACTGACTCTGCCTTACTGACACCTCATAAAGTACCTTATGCCCTGACGCTGGCATTGCCTTACTGACACTACATCACTGGCACTACATCGCTGCTTTTCTGGTTATTAGAAAGAAGATTTGCCAGAAAGAGGTTACAGTGACATTGTACTGCAGGAGGGGTTAACTGTGTGGTACAATGGTGGTTAAAGGAGAGGGCATGGGGGCACTGTGGGGTATAGCAGAGGACATTGGGTACTTTATGGGGTGCACTGTGAGGTACAGGAGAGGGCATGGGGTGCACTGCGGGGTACAGGGCATAAGGTACTTTATGAGGTGCACTGTGGGGTACAGGAGAGGCATGGGGTGCACTGTGGGGTAAAGAAGAAAGTTCAGATAGCCCCCACTGGTATAAATCTTCTTATTCAGCAGTTTACATTAGTTATAAAAAAGTTTAAATGGCCAGCGAATGTTTTGCATGCAATCCACAAGGCACAATTTGCATGGCGTTTGTTTGGGATTCTGTTGGATAATCCGGTTTCCTTCTAACAACATGGTAGAAATATTAGTCTGTGAGGTTTAGAAAGAAATACTGAATTGAATGGCTTGATATAAACTTTAATGTATAGCAACCAGTTTACTATAGTTCAGATCAGTGAGGGATACATTCTAATTGGCTGTTCTTTGCCTTAAACTGGCCATACACCTATAGATTATCTGCAGATTTTCTATGGTCAGATGGAAAAAGTGCAACAGATTCCTCCATCTACGCTAAACTGTGTAGATGGACGAATTTCCCGCTGGGCCAAGCTTCAGTATCTTGCTAGTTGGCCCCGCTGGCTGTCAAAATATCTGAACAATCTGACTGGAAGCATTGTTGAGGTGAAGCTTGGCCCAGCGGGAGATTCCGCCATCCACACAGCTCATTGTAGATGGAGGAACCTGTTGTACTCTTTCCATCTGACCGTAGAAAATCTATAGGTGTATGGCCAGCTTTAGGATTCTCCTTTCCCAATGCCCTTGTGATGGAGCTAGGGCCTGGTGACTATACTAGGTATTCTTAGCTCCTGATAGCCAACCAGATTAGTGGGAAAGGAAAAAGATGGTGAAAATCTAAAGATGTATGGTTAGCTTTATACAAATAATGAACAATTCTATAAGAGGCTTTTAATCAAAAGTGTAAAGACATAGTCTCTCTTCTGAGCCTTTATCTGTCCCCACATCAGGGGCGGACTGACCATGTTTCTGGGAACATACAAAAAACGTATATATATATTTATTTTTTTAATACTCACCTGATCCCTGGATCCACTGGCGAGAAGCTGCACACCGCGCGCCGGTTTAAGTAGTAACCAGCACGCTCTGTATGCAGCTTCTGACAGTGTGGGAGACAGGAGGCTGCACTTGTCGGTGGATCCAGGGATCAGGTGAGTATTAAAAAATATATATATGTTTTATTTTATGTTTCCAGTAGGGCTGCAACAACTAATCAACTAAGTCGATTATAATCGATGATTGAAAAAGTTATCAATGTTTTCAATCATTGATTAATGATCCACGCTCCACACGCTGCACCTCCTCCTCGCCTCATGCTCGCCGCTGCCAGACCCGCCCGCATCCCCACGCCGCACCTTTCACGCTCGGCGCTGCCAGGCCCTCCCGCA